AGGGTTCCGCTCACAGAACTCGTAGTAGATCATTCTTATGGTGCCCGGCGGTAAGAATCTTGTAGGTAGTTCTGATATCTTCTGGGCTGCGCTCGTTTCCACCCACCTAAAGACTAGTCAGTGACTAGTCCAGGCTTTCAACAAATTGGCGCAATGCACAGCATCATCATGAAAGATTCTAAGGAAACCACGTTGAATAAAATGTTTGGGACCCCATGCAATGAAGACGGAGTTCTTCGTCATCCTCCAACTGCTCCCCTTCATCTGCAAATTCAACATCTGAAGCTGATTCACCTGATGATACATCCCCTCCATCCATTTCAGGCCCACTGAACGAGACAGTCAACTTCTCCAGTCGGCCATTGCCTCGCTGATGCCCACCTCTTTGGAACCTGGGCCCCGGACAGAAAATAATAAATAGTAGCGTGAGACAGAAAATATCAGAATTCAATCGTGTTTGCTAAGAAGCTTTGTTGGCAGCATTCCGGCTGCATTGAGATATAGATGCAGGAGATGCATATCGACCCTCATTTGTTTCTTTGGAGATCTCTTCTTGGCCTCATGCATCTGAAAATAACCCAGAAGAGATTGCACCAGAACAAATTAAATGCATTCAGCGTGAGATAACCTACAATTACCTTTACACACCATAGCTCCAACAACTTCTTGCTCATGCAAGGTGCTAGTCCAAAGCAACCAAATCGTCTATCGAGCATGCCATGTCCAGTTCGGTTTAACCGATCCTCTCCAATGCCAAGAATGGTTGCGAGGCACTTCACTGATACACATTTCCCAAGAAGCTTCCATGTCTTGCGAGACCCTCGCCCTTCTCGTACAACCCAATGAATCTTAGCCATGGCATGCCATGGAGACATGGGGACGTATAGGGATGTGACTAACGGTGACTAACATCATCGTTCCAACGCAAATTTCAGAAAAAAAAGTAAGGAGGCAACGTATGCATCTTGAAGCGTTTTCCGGAGATTCCAGAATAATTCCAAGAATTGTAAAAGCTCTCGCACAAAGCTCGCAAATTGGCTGTGACAACCAGCGGTGCACCTGCACCCAGGCAGTCGCAGAAGTCTTTTGATTCGGCTGTCACTCTTGCCATTCGCACACTGCCTGGGATGGAACAAACATCCAGGGACCTTAGGACGTGCCCACTCGCTTAACCTACTATTGTACCGTTATACACCAAAATATTCCATGTTCACAATCTAAGTTACTGTCTCCTCTCTGGTGGTTGAACTCTCATGAACTTTCGCTTCCTAGAGTTGTAATTTGGCCTTTTCCGCTTCCCATCTGCCAGTGGTCTATCTGCTGTATGAACCACCTGCTGTTCTCGAAAGTCAACAAGGTTGGACAGACTGAAGTGGATGGCCTTTGTATCTTCCTCCTTTTCTGAAACCCGTGCAATAAAAGCAGCCCTGGAAGCCACTCTCTCATTGCCAGCATCAGCTTGCACTGCACCTCTCCCAGCATGTGACTTAGGAGCACACCTGGCTATGAACCTCGGGCTCATGGGCTCGAAAGCATTCAAATTGAGGGGAACTTGGGAAGAATTTAGTATAATTTAGGCTGTGCCAAGCCACGCCAATCTTCGAGGATCCATGTTGATCCCATGGCTTCAAGCCCTCTCTCTTGGGCCAAACTTGACAGAAGAACCCTTCAAAATATTACATTCTAAAGATACCAAACCCATCCAAACCCCTGAACAATATTCAATGACTATTGAATCAAACGAAATCTCCTTTTTTGCTTTTCGTGCTGGAGGCTCAAGTTCTTGCTCCGTGGTTTCATTGTAAACGCACCCTTGCTATTCTCAGGTTTTCCCTTTCACGCGCACGATACTTTTCGGGTAGTTCCCCTACAAACACGTCGTCTTCCACGAAGCACTGCGAGGAAACATGGTTTTGCAGCGACTCCCGCTCCAAGTATTCCAGGTTCTATACTGCAGGTCCGGTTACCCCTTGCTTGGTGTGGCTGATTTGGTTCCCTGTCTACAGTGGACACAGTACACCAGCGCCGAGATGTTGTCGTTTGCGCGCAACCTGCGTGAAAAAGCCAAACATTGCTATTAAGGGATCCAAAAGCCTATGTTTCGCCATCGTGTCCGAGAGGCCCGCTGGATGTGGCCCGGGTGGGAATTCACTCTGACTCGCGACCGGCTGGGCATAGATCTGTCTCACGCAACGCTCCTCCGAGATTACCTGGGATGTGAGTTGGTTGCATCGATGGTTTGAAAATGATTGGACTGCAGTACAACAATCTCCCAGCTTTTCGACGGAGACACTGCGTTATTTATTGTGGCTTCCACGGAAGCATATTTCTGTGATTTTTCGTCACCAGAATTCGATGCAAGTGAAGTCTCGATTTCCTACGCTACCCTGCGGAGATCACCCTCTGACTCGTCCGGGTTCATGTTCAGTTATGTTCATACAACAATAAAACGCAGGGAGCCGCGCACGTCTCTTGGGAAGAGGATTCGGATGATAAAGAGCTTGCTTCTCCGTGGATGCTGTCTGATTCGTCTGACGACCCATGGTTTGTAGACTAATTTCCCACGCTACACTGTTATCCCTGTCATTTCCTTGGGTTGACAGCAGCAAGAGTTCCCGCAGAGTAAGTACCTTTTTGCAAACCTTACATTCCTCTCCCACTACAGCTTCCTCTCATAAGTGCTTCCTTACCTTTGGACTGGAGGACATCTCCACTGATACTGAGAAAAAAAGCGTTCGCTGAGAAACTGCGTTTGTGAAATCGACGAGATAACAAAGAGTCATGTTATGAGTTGTTTGTATTGGATGCTTGTATGGAGATGTGTGTAGAGAGAAATGAAACATGTTCATTGCTCAAAAGAAGATAGATCGTGATTTTTCACAAGTTTGCTTTTAGCAGCATTCTCTCATAGAATGTCAATGAATGATGAGACAGCTCCCGTTGAGATGGAGACAAAAACTCCAGTGCGTGGAGACGTGACATGGTTTCACGTTGAATATACCTCGCTGACCCAAGTCGCTCGTTGTCCGTTCCGCACAGCGGATTGCCAACACTATACCGTTGACCTCCTCAAATCCATGGTTGCTCAACTCTTCGAATCCAAGCACCAAACGCAGGTTTGGCGCAGGGAATTTCGTCAATCTGATCTGTGAGCATGTTGGCCACAGTGTGGGGCTGGAAGACGTCTGTCATGAGTTTGGGACAGAGAAAGATGGGTGGCAAGACATCCACTTGCTGGCTCGATTCAATTCACAACCACCAGACCATCAGGTTGGATGTGAGGCAGATCCAGTATTGCAGCCCGGGGTGGAAAGCTTGCAGCAAATTCAGGCTCCACCACGTCTTGACTTCTGGGTATGTGCTTCTGCATCGACGTCTTTCCCCACAGCAAGGTGTGGCTCAGTCCTCGCGCACCAACCTTTCCCACAGCGTGTGTATCTGACGGGGCCCTCTGCTTACGACATGTTTTCTGTCCTCAACTGGGATCAAGCTGCTGGACTACAGAACATTACTGTGTGAGACTCTATCAGAAGCTGGTGTGCAGCTCATACCTCCGGAGGTATGGCTCAGTCCTCCTTCAGACGCTGACTTCCAAATTTCGATACTCTGTGCACAAACGAAAAACAACCAAGAGCAGTAACAAGAATGCTCTCCTCAGGTACCATGTGTTACCAGCGAAGTGTCTTGCTTGCACAGGTCTGCAGTAGCCCATTTAACTTCGCTTTCCCATGTGGAGGCTCAAGCTTTGAATAGATGTACATGCGCCTCCCGTGCTTTTAGATTGAATTTGTGGTCTCGCATTTATACATATATATTGCTCTACTAACGTTACATTAACATGTTCATCTTTGGGTTCAAGTTCATCCAGCGAGCTGATTTTTTTGGTCAGCTGAGAAACTGCATTTCTGAAACAAACAAGATAACAAACGTTTGGAGGTGGTTTCGACACTCTTGCAGACATGGGATTGAAACAGTGACGTTATGTGTTGTTTGTCCTGGATGCCTTTTTGAATGACTTCCAGGGATGATACACTCAAAGGGCTCAAGTTCATCCAAGATGATTTGCCAAAGCGCTTTGGCCATCAAGCCGGAGTGCCTGACCTGCATCTTGTTTAGTGCTAAATGCCTTGAACTTCGCAAAAACCCGTGCGATGGAAACTGACAGTCAGAGTGTGTTTCCACGAACTCGACGCTTTTTTGGGGGAGGGGAGAGTACTTTTCGAGCTTTCCTTTTTCAGACCACGTGAGACATACGCGCGCTCGACTCGGATGGGTTTACCTGATACCTCCACCACGTGCAGCCGACTTTCCTGTCATTTGCATTCCTGGAGGTATTGCTGCTTTTGCTGCCGCGGTTGCGCAGCTGCGCGCCCTGGCGATGCGGCTCCCTTCCGTCGCTGCGCGGGAGCTGTTGCTGCGAACCCGCACGCAAGAAAAAAGGGATGCACTTCTCCCTGTTTTCTATCCGTTGATGGTGGGTCCGAGTTTCTACCTGGAGGTGAGAGGTTGAGGGATCCGGTCCGCGTACACTCTATAGCGAGAGGTTCAAGGCGCTCGTGCGAAGTGCGACCGTTTACAGATTCTGAGGGTTGGGTGTGGATGCAGCACCTCCTCTGAAAAGCACAGGGAAGGAAGGATATACCTAGAACTAGAACCAGGATAGCTTTGAAACCTTGGAGCCCGGAAAGTACGACGACCTTTGCGCTTTAAGCTAATCTGCTACAATTTCGATCTAGGCCAAGTAAAGAGCTCAAATCTGGATGGAGCGAGATCAGGTGGGAGAGGGCGCTGTGCTCAAAAGAAAGAGTGCCATACAGGTTGGCGGTCCACTGTCAGGATATTTGGGCGCCAAACAAGAGATCACTGCAATACACTCCGAGACCCTGCTGCTGCTGTTTTGATTTACATAATTTGGGAGAATGCAAGGGAACAGGCAAGATTTCCCGAAGGATCTGTTCAACATATTGACATATTAACACACGCGGATGACCCTGATTGGCCTCTGATGGCACGCTTCCGAAACTGGATGAGGCTATTGATCGTGGGGTCTTCATTGGATCCTGCAAGGACATGATCTGCAAAGCTGACAGAAAGGGCAGTGAAGGACTTGTTGAGTGTTTTGTGTTCCGTTGCGTACTTGCCGTGCGAAGAGGAAGAAATCCTCTTCTCCTGCTCGCTATTACATTGAATATTGTGGGTCGCCTTTGTCTTTCTCTTCTGCTGTTTTTGACATCAAGCAAATCCCTTGAAACAGGCCCGTGGTCCTTCACTCCCGAAGATGTAGCTGTAGTTGTTCCACTCCATTGGCAGTCGACCTTGCATGCTGAATAAAAACACATTGCGCTTAGCAACTCCAGTCTGCTAAACAAACGTCCGTTGCTTCAGCACGAATTGGCACAAAGACACAATGTTGTTTTCAGGTGTAGTCACCACACGCGCACCAAAAAGCTCTATTGTGATGAAGAAAGAAGCTATAAATGTTGCTATGCGAAAATACCACGACGTACCAGGAGATGAGAGTTACGAGCATAGCTGGCATATCCTAGAACTGAACAGAAATTGCTGGTCACACGACCTTTGGGATGGATGTGAAAGGAAATCAACCGGCGCTGAGCTCCAAATCTCATAGCAGAACCTTGTAAAATATCTGCGATTGTGTGTTCTCATGAATGTATTGATATGATCACCTATACCTGTACCGCCATGTTGCGTCTGTCGGCTCATTTGTGTCCTCATATGTGGTCGCGTGTCCTCATGTGTTGTTGTGATGTTGTGCTCACATGATCTCATATGTCATATGTCCTCGCGTGTGCTGAAACTGTGCCCGCATCTGGCGCTTTCACACTCGCGCTTCTATGTGTCTCCCGTTTGTTGGTGTGTTTTCTGACATGTGTGCTCTCGTAGGTGCGCTTTCATGCACTACCCTGTTCACCCACCTCTTAATCCCAACAGCGCCCTTTTGGCCAGGGTCAAGTGTCATCTGAATATAAAAGGCTACCTCCGATCAAGCCCTCCTTTTGGCAAGGAGGGAGCGAATTTTCCCGAGACTTGCAGGAGGCAAAAACAAGGCGGTATATTCCCGAAGGGCTTGATCGAGATAAGTTTGAGCTGTCACATCGTGTTTCCGGTAGTAGCTGGTCGACTTGCATGCCCTGTGCGTACGCTGAAGTCGCTCCCCCTCGATGCACACTGTAGGAGAGATAATTGAAAATTGTCCAGGCCTAGGTGGGACAGCACCCTCCTTCCACAACACGCGGAAGGCTGCCGGAGACTGGTCAACCAGAAATTACAGTAATCGGCAGATCGACGATGACATAGTGATCTAAGGGAATTAAAGTGACTGGCTTCGGAGATGCTCACTTTTGTAGTGTATGCCACACACTGCTTTCTTTGCATTTGCGCACATAGTGGATGGCATGCTCACACTTCTACTAATATTTCTTCTACTTCTACTTTTTCTTTTCTTTTTCTTTTCTTCTTCTTCCTGGGTTGCGACTTTGGCTGTCAGGGTTGATTTACTTTGGCGTCTTCGAAGGCTTCTAGAAAGCCTCCTCCAGAATCTCAACAAAATATTCTACAGTAGAAGTCAATGGATTTTCAGGCGTTTCTTCTCATGATCCCCCATGGATTGAAAAACCTGCTGCTCGTTGACGGTGCCCCTTATTATCGTGGCCTGGCTAAAAAATATGATATCGATCGTGCACTCACTCCAAGGGAATCTTCAACCTGAACAAACCAAATTCATGGTAGAGGTTCATACTGGAAACATGGATGTTTTTGGGAAAGGCACCAAGAAAACGATTCCTGCCAGCTTGTCTTCGAAAGTGAAAGGCAAAAGACATGTTGCGCTGTCGAAATGTCTGCGCCGCTACCAGTGGCGCTGGGAGAACACAGGTAAAACCCTGCAAAAATACACATTGCTGAGTCTCTGAGAGTAGAACAGTTGTTAGCTACGTTTTTGGCCACTAAATGCTGTGAGGGTTGTCATTGAGAAAACCAACGAATCATATCTATTCAAGCAATTGTTCAACGAAAACGGTAGCCGGGACGAAATGCGGCGCGGCAGCAATTCGGACGAAATGTGTGATCCGGTAAAGAGTCCGCCGGGATGCTTGTGTTGATACACAAAGATGCTTGTGTCCGGGTCCAAATCAACATCACCCACACTGTTTGGGCATCTTGCGGACCCGCATCGCTCGTTTTGGTATAGACAGAAAAACGACCTCTGAGATTCTGAAACTGCTATGAGCTGTCTTGGTCTTTAATATGGGAATGCAAGAGGCCAGCTCTGTCGTGAGTATCCACTTGCGGTGTTGTTGGCGTCCTTCCTTCAAGAACTCTAGACCACCTTGGCGATTTGGTGCAAACCGATAGTGGATGATGCACGCTTTCTATGTATGCTGAACAGTATTGCATGGAATCAGTACAACCATAGGTACTCCGCCAGAGTTCAACTCAGTGGAATCCCACATGTAAAGGCCAAGAAATTTGGGAGGCGGGCTGTAGCACTTAAGCTACTTTTGGCCATGCATTCAATGCATTTTTGTTGAGGCTGATCACTTTCAGTCAGCAAAGGAATGGACGGATCATCCAATGTATATCACAGATCCACAGGTCCATTAACCGAAGACCCGACACCAAAAACCAGGTCAATCGGGTATGCACCTCGTTACTTTGGCTCAAGTGGAAAAAGAGCGTGAGCGAGTATAGATGCTCTTCATGGTAGCGGAGCTATGGCAGAATCTACCGATCTCGGAGCAGATCCTTCTATGCCTTCTGGTGAACCTGGGACGGCACTGAGGGAGGATCAAATCCATGACTTGGAACAGAGGATCCAAGGCCTAGCTGAAGCCTATGGTTCGTTGGTACCTGCTGCAGAAGCTTTGACTAGCAAGTTGAAGGTAAATGAGTTGCCATCGCAAGGTAGTCCTAGCTGTGGGCCGGTGCAATCACCTCCAGCACCAATGGTTCCAACACCTAGTGGTTTAGATTGCCTGGACAAGCAATGCTTGCCCCAATGCAAGAGAATGGGACATTTGCTTCGTTTGATCCTTTGCAACAGAATGATCCATGGCAGAATGCACAAAGAGCTTCTTCTCCCGAAAGGAATCCTTTTGCTAGCGCAAGTGCGACCAATGCCAATATTCCTCCACCAGGGTTGCAGCAGTCACCCAGAGCAATGCAGGACGCAGTTGAGGTTTTTCGTGGAAGTGAGGACCGAAATCCTTTCACACGTTCTGAGAAGTGGATGCCTGCTTTTCCAGTTCCACCACATGACAAGTGCACCACCCGACCAGAGGAAGTAGAAGGGTTCAATAGCTACATACAAAACCTTGCATCTTGGGCCGGCTTAGGAGACAATGAATGGCCAAGAGAGATTCTTTGGTCACTTCGTAGTCCAACAGTCATCACATGGAACCAGATGACCGCAGCTCAGATCACCCGATCTACTCGTTTGCTTTCGTTCTTGAAACAATGCTTTTCAGGACATGCTAATTGTTGTGGACTGTTGTGGATTCGAAACTGTTCGTTTGCTGTCAAGATAATTTTGCATCAAGACCCGAACAGAGCTGATGTTCTTTAGGAACCGAATCACCAGTGGGGTATTCAAATGTCCCACCATCCCTGAGACAGTTCGACAGATCCAGCATGAGCTTTTCAAGTTTGCCCGCATTCAGCAGTTGGTTGATCCAAGCGTGAACAACGCACAACTGGACATCATGGAGCCCGATCAGATTTTGATTCTTCTTCGTTCGTTGCCTGACGCTTGTTGACAGTGGCGTGTTCTCAATGTCGTGCAAGAGTCATTCCAAGCCTACACCGAGGCAGGGCTCAGGTACGAGGCGCAGCAGAGAGCCTGGTCAGAGTTGAACCATAAGCCAATTGCACAATTGAAAGATAAAGGATGGTAAAGGGAGTGAGAAAGACAAGAACCAAGGAAAAGGTAAAGGTGAGAATAAACAGCAGGAGAATCCGAACAAAGATGCCAATGCTTGCTTCAAGTGTGGTAGTACAGGAAATTATGCACGGAATTGTCCACACAAGTACGATCAGTACTACCAGAACAAAGACAAGGGAAACACAGGCAAGAATCAAAAGAAAGGAAAGAACGGTAGCAAAGGCAGCAAAGGCAAAGAAACCAAGGGCAAGGACACCAAAGGAAAAGACAAATCAAAAAGTAAGAAAGGACAACGAGCAGCAGAGTTCTCTGAATCGTCAGACTATTGGTCAGGCTATGATGAAGGCTGGGATGAGAGCTGGAAAGATGATGATCAATGGTCGGAGATCAGTGACGGGGGGACGTCTTGCTTCGTTTGTTGGGGTCGTGACCTACCACGAGCAGAGTGCAGAGCACCAACCATGTTCACCAAAGATTCAGCCCGTGCAGAAGTGTGAAAGAGTGGACGCCAATCGTGTGAGTGCTAGAGTGTTGATTCGATGGTTGACATGCATAGTGGTACTTGCAGTCCTCAGCATGATATGTTTGCTGTTGAGCTTTAGCATTCACCAACCACAGGATCGTAGCGTCAAAATCGGGTACACGATTTGCTTTGTTTCTTTCGAGGGTTCTTCGCAGGGCATTAGGATTGGTACTTATACTTAGTGTCAGATGCCTAATGGGCAAATGAAAGGTTTCTATCCGACAGATCCAGGTCAAGCAATGAAACCAGAACCTTTCGCGCAGTTCGAGACCCATAGGACCAAGAGAAATGATGCAGTATCTTCAAGCCCGAATCAGGTTGCAAATCAGCCGAACGATAACAGCCAGCAGATCCTCCGAGCTGGACGAACACAAGCAGCGGAACAGATAGATCCAGCAGGGTCGAAGCAACTTGTGGGGCAGGGAGTGTGTTCATTGAAGAAAAGAAGTCGGTCAGGTAATCGCTATGAACATGAGTTGTAGTGCTAATGATGTCAGACACAATCCTTTTGGTATGCAGTTCGACGAGTTCGCAAAGGAAAAAGTAGGGCCAGAAGAGTGTGTGTTTAGAAACGTGCAAAAGACTCGGAATAGACAGAAACAGCCGAGAGACAGCTGGTTTGCTGTGTGTGAAGCATTCTTTCGAACCTTTGACCACGTCCATTGTTTTTCGATTATGTTTCTAACAATGCAGTGGTTTGCCGAGCGTATCAATTGTGATATTTTGGAACCATACTGCATGTAAACTCTGCAGCGCTATCATATTGACGATTCTGCATATTTTACACAAATCAGCTCATTTGCATGTTTTCCGTACGCAGCATACACAAAGAACCGAAAACATGCACACCATGAGAGGAGCCAGAGATCAGAACCACTGAGCCGTTCTGATTGT